AAATGAAAAATATGACTTAAATATTTCTTGTACTTCTACATTTGTGCCAAATTAGAAAGAAATCGGAGTGTACCTTTTAGGTAGGTTTACTTGTTAGTTTTAGAAATAACAGCTTGTAACACTTTTAACTTTTGCAGCCTGTATATCGTTGTACAAGTGATCATAATTGAGCAAAAATAATGCGACCCATAAAATTCGAGTTTTTGTTGAATACCAATGAATAGTTTACATCTTTCTACGTAAATAAAGAGGATCCTAGCTTTATGGGCGCCTAAAATTAAGTAAAAAAATCACTAATATATTTTCTACTAGTTATGCAATTTTTTATTAATTGTATCCTTTTTATCCATATTTCTTTGAAAAATTAAATTTGTCAATGAATACCCTTAGAGAGAAGAAAATTTACTTATTGAACAATTGCAAAGAACTTCAATTTAATGCTACCTATACTTTTGAATTTATATGTCAAATTATCATCTTTATTTTTTTCGAAAAAGAAAGTTCATATGGTTTGAATCGTTCTTGTATAACTACAGCCAATTCGTACAAAGATACACATGAAGCATTTTGTATTATTGTAATGTGTAAACCATCTTTCCATATATGTTCAATGTAGGGAGAAAAATCGAGTCTCTTGAGGTCTGTATTCATGTCATATATGTTTGTAGATATAAATGTTCCTCAGATAAAGAGTGAGAAAGAGAGAGAGAAATAGAGAGAGGAAAAAAGTATTTGTGCTGTCACGCTGACGAGAATATCGATAGGTCGCGAGAACACAGAAGCGCATAATTTTATACTTTCATACATTCTAATTCTGACACAACAAGCAATATGTTGCAATTGAAATTCCGTTCTGCGCGATAAGATAGTCGGGATTGTATCGCACTTTGTCGCGCGTTCTCGCAGCACTTTACAAACACTTTCGCGAGTAGTTTTTCGCAAATTCGCGAAAAAGTGAGTGACACAGAGGCAAACAACACTAAAGGTCGCGCGCTCTTTTTCTCTTTTTCCGCGACGCGAGAGGAATCCGCCGCCGGTGACACCTGTTAGCAGCGATCGATTGCGCAACAGATCGATCGGCTTCGTTAGATCTGTCGGCGTGCATGTACGTAGCCATACGAGCACGGGGAAAAACGCGCGTTCTATAAGGAGAGACGACATTGCGCGGCTGGAAAACGGATACCCATGAGAAGCGGGATAAACGGGCGCCTCCACGACTCTCCGGGAGAGACTCCGCTTTTTTCTCATTACGATAAATATCGTATACGTTTTGCAATTGTTGCGACCGCGCGCGACTGCGGAACGAGTACGCGACCTTCGAGAGTCGAGAATAACGAGTAAATCGCTCGGCGTATGTCGGATTGCCTCCGAAAAAGGCGTCGTCCTCTAAAAGCCGCGATCCTTGCCGGATCTTCGGGACGCCAAGAGGATCGCCGGCGAGTCAAATTATCGGAAATTGCAACCCCGACGATTGCAATTTAACGTGCGCGGCGACGAGCGGTTTTAATTGAGCGTGCCTTCATATTTGCTGGGTATAATCGCGATACTTATCGAAAGATTGAGGAGAGGATAAATTTATAGGTTCGAGCTGAAGGATTCACACCTCGTTCGCAAAGTGCCCGGAAATGTTCCGCGATATCTCTCGAGGATCATCCGCACGACGAGAGAGGTAACACTTGTGCGAGGGGAGAGAAAAATGCGCGGTAATTTATCACCCGTCGTATATCAAAGTCCTCGCGCTTTCTCTAGAAACTCTTTTTCTGTCCCGCGCAATTAACTTGGATAACTATTCCATTAATCCGCTATGACACTGGGGAAATTTAATGTCCAGCGATAAAACCCGTTTTAATCTCGCGATGTTTTTTGCGTGCGCGTGTAACGCGATTCACACGGCGCGGATAATTTTGAACTGATTGGAACCCTCTCGCGTGCTTGTCCTTGGGAGAAATATTTTTCCTCTAACATAAGGGACTAATAACCTTTTGGTCACTCGCACGTTGTATGAAATTTGCGTTAATGAATAATCAAGTATTTATGGAAACAATCTGTAGACTCTCATCAAATTTAAAAAATTCTTAAATTTGTACTTTGACGATCCTTACTTTTGTCATAAATACTCTAAAAAAATATCACATCTTTACAGTGAAGCCTGTGGTCGATCAAGTCGAAATATTAGTCCTATATTAATTCTAAATTTTCGAATTTCGAAGTATGTTTACATGGAGAAAATGTTGCAGTAAAAATTACGTTAAAATTACATTTCTTTTTTCAATGTTTTTTGTAAAACTGGACCATACTAAAATTGTAATATATAGTTACTGTAACAATTTACTGTAAAAATATATTATGAAAATATAGAAATAATATACAACTACAGTAATTTAGCACAGAGATAGTAAATTTCACAATCTCTATTTAGTATATGATATAAAAAACACTCAAGTAATTACAATAATTTTGTAACAAAAAGTCAAACCTGCATAAACATATATGCAGCAATTTCGTTCATAATTCTATATGATGCAAGATTACAAAATTTGTAGTTATTTTTATTAGATTTTTATTAGATTTTCTCCATATACTTATTGCTGTTTTCTCCATGTTTAAGTATAAAAATTAATAGACGAACATAAAACAGTACTTTATGTGTAAGATAAAGTACACTGAGATAAAAATACTTGAAACTTTATTTGTAAGACAAGAATTTATATTTTACGAAAATAAAATTTATTTTGCAGAAATAAAATTTATTTAATTTAAATATTATTTTAAAAAATTATCTCACAGAAATAAGCTTTATATCCTGCATACAAATTTTTAAATATTTTTTCCCAGTGTCTAAATTATATCAAATAAAAAAACATTATGCACGACAAAATAGATTCTAAATTTCAACTCAGGCGCTAATGAATTCCTCGATCGACATTTTCTCGATCTCCTCGAAGGGAGGGCGGTTTAGGTCAAGGCGCTTCTTCGTCAAGCTTCATTGTTCCCTGCGATGCGCGGCGAAAGTACGCGTTTAATCATCGCGTCGCGTTTATCGCGATAGCACTGTGCGTCTCGTAGAATTACCGGTTTACTGTCTGCCAGTCAAGCGTTGGTCAATATATCGATAATCTCTAGTACTCACCACGCCGGCGATCGTAAAACCCTTTATGGTAATTGGCAATTGGCGAATATCGCGCGTATTTCCCAACAATTAATTTCGCTCGGGATCTTAACGTCCGTGTTATTGACCGGGCGGAAGCGCGGAGAGAAAACACGGCGAAGTAAAAATTACAATAAAAAGAAAATTCGTTAAAAAAAAGGATAGGAGAAGTTAGACTTGAGTTTTGTATTTTCGCCGCAGTTGTCGGGGTAGACGAGTCGCGAGCGGAATTCCGAACGGGATTTCAAACGGCGGCGATCCACGAATTACGAAATAATCGCACGTTTCTCCAGTCATCCACGCAAACAATCGCACATTTATCGTGCCACACACGCTCTGTACAACTCCGCCGCGTCCATCACGTTCAATTTTCTTACTCGGAGAGGACTCGCTGTCTCGGAGCGCGCGTAGCAATAAATCATCGCGTTATTATTCTCACTCGGCGCACTTTGAATGTACGCGGTCGACGCTGCGAGCGGAATGCGCATCGTGCAATCCTGATCGTGGAACGCGGGTTAACTCGTTGTAGCAACGATGCATTATTACTCGCCAATATCGAGAATACCTTACTTAATAGCGGCACCGACCGAGGCACATTTTCCGCGTGTCTGTTTCTCCGCGAAGGTCGGCGCGTCGCGAAGCAAACGGAATGTGGTTTCGCCGCGAAATAACCCGCGGAGTCGAGAGCGCGATGAGAAATCGAATGCGGAACGACTTCCTGGTCGTCGTCGTTCTTTCCAGTTAAAAGGCTAACAAACAATCCGTACGGCATTCGTGCTAAGCACTCACAGCAGACATAGGGTAACTGTCCATATTACTGTGCCTATTCATATTACTGTGTCCCTTTGTATTTAAACAAGCTTTCAAAACTAGCATAAATAGGTAAAATATTTTTTATATTTGTTATATTTATATGTATAATATATAATGTTGTGGAAGTTTTTTGAGTTACTGTGATCCTAATCTGTGATAAGAATTTTTTAATTTTCTAAAATCTAGAATGAGACGCAACCAGTATGAAACAATGCAAATTTTTTAAATTCTGCCCTCTAATCCATAATTAGCTGCACGAAAATTGACCAGATATAAAACTTCAAGAAAATCGGTTTGATATAAAAATTCGTAACACAAAAGATTAAAGCTGATATATCGACATAAATGTGCCAATTATTTCTATACAAATGGATATAGAGATTTAGAAATGTCTCGCGATAATTGCTCGCAGAATAAAAAAATAAATGATTAGAATTTTCTAATGCGCGTATTAGTCGATAAGCGCATTGAATCGATCTGATATTCATATATCAGATATTTTTTAGTTATGATTCGATTGTCAATCGGAATGTAGTGGCCAGCTTTGCGACCAACTTCTGACTATCGAGGTCAGATTGCGATTCTCGAAAGGAGACGCGCGCGGACGCCGGCTAACTTCACGCTCGACATTCCACTTTACGCGTCTTGACGAGACGACTCGGGAATATACTCAAAAACACGACCACAGACTTCACAGATGCGATAAATGCCTCTGATAGGCTCAATCGCTTTGAGTTTAATTTAGACGATCTGTAATTCACATGTAAATACGTATATACTCAGACGGCATAAATATCTAAAGTACATCTTGGAGACATCCCAAAGATACCTTCTAGACGTCTTTACTATGCCTTTTAGACATTTATGCCGTACAAGTGTGTGCTTATAGACGTAATCTCGAATGTCTTTTTCTCTTTTTACTCACATTATATAACCTACAAAACAAGTGGAGTTCCATTCCGAATTTAATTGCGAACTACAGATCGCCAGAAGCGAGCACGAGATTGTGATTACTGAAAAGGTAGCTTGAAAGACTCACCATACCGTCTCCGTCAGTCGTGTCGTCCGCATCGTCGATCAAAATCAGCCACAGGGATGAACTGCGAAGTAGCTTTCCGATGCCGTGGTCCTCCTCACTGTGACGATCCTCGACGATCCTCGCCGCCAAGTTCGATCACCGCGGCATCTAACGATGACAACCGCGCTGACTACTCTGAAACACAACAATCGTCACTCGCAACGCGATGCTACTTCGGATATATCCGTGGAAATGTCGCGCGAGCCGCTATTGTCGAAAATCGCCCGACACTTTACCACCCACCATTTCGTCCCCGACTTTGCATGTAACTGAACTTCTCGAGTGAAATTCGGTAATGGCTAACGTCACGCACGTCACGCTCGCTTCACTCGCAGTACTCGCATTTGGGCGAATTCGCGACTAATATTTGATCGTATTCGCGACGAATACGATTGAGAACGAAGACACAATCGTGACTCGAAACGAGCCGCGATGATCCTCGACCTTTGGGCTGTTTACCGGAGAGTATTTATTCCTGTCGGAATCCACACTCCGCAAGACTGTTTTACGTACCTTCGGCGAGAGAGCCTTCTAATTACTGTTTCCAGCTCGCGAGTCCGACACCGACTTCAAACGACTGCAACGCGCAATGTCTTTTCGGTAGCGGCCGTTTCGTGAAATATCTTCCACTTGTCTGTCCACGATTATGACACACCATCACGCCTCGATGTCAAATACGTCTGTCAACGACGTGAGGAAGTGAATCCCGTGCCGCGCGCGTTTTCTTACGACGTTATTTTTACGAAAGTGGAAGAAAGGCGCGCGAGCACTGCACGAGATCATCTACTCCGTTGACGTTTCTCGTACTTTCCACTTGTTCCGTTCCTCTTTTCTTCCTTCGTTCCCAAACTTTCGACGCGTATTTGCTCGATTCAAGATGCCAAGGTGCGACAATATACATTGCAACTAGAGAACAAACAATACGTCTATTAAGAAAAAAGAAATCTAGAGAGTACAGATAGCACGCGATGAGTATACGAGTAAGTGGCGCCGTCGTGTTTTTTCGGAACTACCGTTTTGAGTTACCATAGGTCAACCTTCATCCCGTCACGATAGTTTATAAATGCATCGCATGATCCGTTAATTCATCCGCGCGTTCGCGATGCCGATCGTGGCGGCGCCAACGTAGGCGACGGGCGCCAACGAGTCCCTGGCGTTGATTCGGTGCTTGAGATATTGCACGAGCGGGCGATCGCGAACCGGCTTCAGTGCTACGCGGGCGGTCATATCGAGGCGGTGAATTCGCTCGTTTTGTGCGGAAAAGCGAGACTGCGTCCGGACCGCTGGCATACTCGGAGGAAGATACGGAGGAGCGAGCACGTCGAGGGTACGAGACGACGATAAGGAGGTGAGATTGTGTGCAAACGCGACAGGGATAGACGATCGCGAGGGAAGAATAGACGAAACGTGATCGGCGTCCACTGCGTACGTACGAAAAGGAACGCGTGTCGTGCCAGTTACGCGTTGGTACCGGCGTGTGTGCTGTGGCGAGAAGTGTGTACACACAGCGCGCCCGTCGTGTCTGTGCGCGTACGTGCGTGTACAGAGGACGTTCGGCGTGAAGTGAGTGACGCGCCGGCCGCGCGAGTGAGTGAGAACGCACGAGCGCATGAACGAGAGAGAAAGAGAGAGAGAGTGAGCGGGACAGTGTAGTCGCGGAGTGAAGGGCGGTCGGCCGTTGTACGAAAGTAAGCGAGCTGTGTGTGCGGTCTTCGCGTCGACACTGCGACCTTCCTCAAGTACGTGATATAATAACAAACGACGTGCGCCACGCGCCCGTACCGGCCACGGGACAGTCCGAATTACGTGTTCGCGTCGCGCGGACTTAACCCTCCTTTCTCCCGCCGTAACTTCGGTGTGTCCGTACGTGCCCGCGATCGTCTAACATGGCCGTCTAACGCGCGCGTTCCCGTAACGGTCAGGTGCGCGAGTAATTCGATCGGTGATTTGTCGCGAGTGTGTGCCGACGAATTGTCACGAGGAGGCCTGAGGAATTAAAGCGAAAAATGCGCAATACAACGACGCCGCGAGCCGTGAAGCAGCTGCGGAGGAACGTCGCTCGCGATGCTTCCCTCAACTGCAGAAACCGGCTGGTATGTCGCACCTTATACCTTCTGAAATTCGTGCGTTTCCTCGCCATGTTGATTTCATGGCACTGGCGAATTATTCATACGTGCTGTCGTGCCTGTATAATATATATATTTTATTTCGGAGTTGTGAGAATCATATTTCGAACACGACTGAGAGAAATCACTTGAATTTGTTAATGGCGTACATTAATATTTATTCGTATTCGTTGTTCGCGAGTCTTCTACCGAGAACCACAGGTAGTACTCGTAGTCGGGTCTAATATGTAAAATCATCTTCAGTTCCTCAGATAATCCGTAGCTAGTAAAACAATAACACCTGAAAATAAATTTAATATAGTGATTTTATATACACAGAGGTATGAAAATTATTGGAATAATTTTGATTTTTTTATTCATTTCTTCTAATTGTTTTCTTCAATAAATTTCAAATTTCAGGAAATTACAATTTCCTAGTAATATTTTTTATAGATTTAAAATAATTACAGGTTTGCATTGCATATTGTATGACTAAATTATATAAATAATGGCAGATTATTTAAGAAAATTTAGGAAATATACGAAATATAAAAGAATATAAATATAAAAGAAATTTAAGAAATATATAATATAATATTATTTAAGAAATTATTTCAGAAATATAAATTTTATATCCTAAAAATAAATTTTCAAATACTTTTCTCAAAGTATACATAATTAAAAATCTTGCGTATAAATTTTGAAATTTTTATGTTACACACTTTTGATTATTATTTCAATGTAAAATTAACATATTACCGATATGTTATTATTTTTATTTTATATGATATTTTCATATGTGTTATGTTAAAATTAATAACTTAATAACTTAATGTTTTTTATATCTCTTGAAAATGAAATTTCTTTAATTCTTTTTAACACAGTTATTAGAAAATGATATTTCTTAAAGTCACTTTAATATTAACAAAAAAAAGTGGATCTTTAAATCATTGTAAACTTTGACATGCAGAATAACCAAATCTATCAAAAGAAAATATTTGTATCACGAATTGAGTTGAGTTAAAGTAATTATTATTAAAGTAAATGTATCAATTCCCAAACACATATCTAATCCTGGACATTCTTATTATTTTAATTTTTAAATACAAATATTTAAACTTTCAATACAGAATGTATGTATACATGTGTGTGTGTGTGTGTGTGTGTGTGTGTGTGTGTGTGTGTGCGTGTGTGTGTGTACTCAATGCTTGTTACATTTTATATGTTTAAAATTTAAATATTTATATTTTAAGACCAATAACAAAACAATAAGACCAAAACAATAAGAATGTTTAGGATTAGGTATATATACAGGCATTGGTACATTTACTTTAATATTAATTACTTTAACTCAACTTAATTTGTGACAAAAATATTTTATTTTGATAGATTTGGTTATTCTGTATATGTCAAAGTTTACAATGATTTAAAGATTTTTTTTATTTTTATTAATATTAAAGTGACTTTAAGAAATATTATTTTTAATAACTGTTAAAAAGAATTTAAAAAATTTTATTTTCAAGTGATATACAAAAAACATTAAGTTATTCATTATTCATATATTATACGTTAATGAAACATGAAAAATAAGTTATAACGCGTTCATCTTTGTATATGTTCATAATGTATGAACAAAAATGTCCTATCGACATTCCTTACAAATTATTTTAACTATTCTTCCATGTACTTTCTTTTACTATCATTTATATCATTTTTATGAAAAATTGTACTTAAAATCAAAATAATAACAAACATGAATAAGAAAAAATCAGCAAGTGTCAATTAATTAACATTCATAATTCTTCGATAAGTAACACAACATGAATGAATTATTTTTATACAAAATTTAGAGTAGACATTCTGAGACACATAAAAAATGTTAAGATTAACATTATATTTTTTACTGTGTAAGAAACCCGTTATTTCCTTTATAAAAATTTATATTTACATACAAAATATATTTTACAGAATCCAATATGTTATGATATATCCATTTAATTATTTATATAATGAGGCTTATAACTTATTTTTCATTAACACGTTATAACTTATTTTTCATGTTTCATTAACGTATAATATAAAAGCACCAATGCCTGTATATATACCTAATCCTAAACATTCTTATTGTTTTGATCTTAAAATATAAATATTTAAATTTTAAACATATAAAATATAACAAGCATTGAGTATATGTACGTATACATATATACATACATTCTGTGTTGAAAGTTTAAATATTTGTACTTAAAGATTAAAATAATAAGAATTAGATACGTCCAGAATTAGATACGTGTTTGAATAACACGATTTGATACATTTACTTTAAAATTAATTACTTTAACTCAACTTAATTCGCGATAGAAATATTTTCTTTTAATAGATTTGGTTATAATTATTTAATATTTGTATAATTATAACTTAGTCGTATGCAATTTAATACAATACAAATCTGTAATTATTTTAAACTTCTAAGGAATACTGATTGAAGAAACTGTAATATTTCTTGAAATTAAGCATTTATTCGAAAGAACAATTGAGAGAAAGTGAATAAAGAAATAAAAGTAATAATATTTTTCATACCTCTGTAGTTCACGTTACACACACACTGGTCGCGTTCAGCGGAAAAAGGGCTCAGTGAGCAATCAGCGATTATTGGTTCTTACTGTTAGATCTCTAAATCTAGACCAATTACACTGACAAATTGCTGAACTGTTGAGTTCGCTGAACGCACCCACTGTAGAAAATGCGCGGATTGCCTGAAACGAAACGCAGCGTACAACGGTGCTTCCAGACTAAGGTGAATGACCGCGCGCCGCAACGAGTCGGGGGGAGGGGCCGAGTGACGCTTCAGAGTCACGC